CTTCTTGCATTTATTATTATTTTACTTTCTACAAGCGTACGCTGCATTGCCGACGGTCTCACGTGAGTAGTTTGTTAGGTTAGGTTAGGTCCAATTTATTATTATTATCATCATTATTATTTGTAATCCCCTTTGCCCAATAAATCATTATTAAGTATATAACTAGAAAAGGTTCCTCTTGTTTTATTTGTGGCCATATATGTAAACATCTACCGACTGAGCCTGCGCGTAACTGGAACCCGAGCCCCACGACGAATTAAGTGACGGATTCGCTTACTTCAAGTAGTGGTCACCCGCTACATATATATATTTATATATAAATATATATATTTATATTTAAATATGTATTAATAATAACCTTCTTAACCATTCTGAATCGACAGAACAAGTGGTTGTCATTAACTATCACAGTAGTTGACAAGCTTCAACAGTGCAGAACAAAAGGAGGACTCTGGAGGGAAAAAATATGTTAGCCGACCTTATATTTCACTTTCACGTTCCTTGTTTTTGTTTTCCGTGATTCCTATTTACCTACATTTTTCTTTCTTTCGTCTTCCTTTTCCTTTTCCTTTTCCTTTTAACTACCTTTTCTTTTCTTTCACATTTCTTTGTAATGCCTCCTTATGCATTATTTCTTTAGCTTAAATTACCTTTGTAATATTTCCTTATCTTTCTTCTTTTTCTTTGTTTCCTATGTAACCTTGATTTTTGTTGTATTTACCTTATTTCTTTTCTTTACTTTTCATTTCTTATGCTTTTCATACATATCTGATTTTATCTTATCTGATCGTTTCTTTCGTATCCTGATTCTTTCTTTCTTGTCCTTTTCTTTCTTTTTACCATTTCTTAGGTTGCTTTGAATAACCTATCTTTTTCTTTCTTATAATTCATTCTTTTCATTCCTTTTTCTTTCTTATATTTACTTTTCTTTTCTTTCATTTTCTTTCTTTTGGTTTTAGTTCTTTCTTTTCTTTTTAATTCATTCTTTCTTTCTATTTTTTTCTCACACCTTTCGTAGGTGTACTTGAATATCCTTTCCTTTTCTTCTTATGTTTCATTCTTTTATTTCCTTTTTCATTCTTATATTTTCTGTTCTTATATTTCTTTCTTTATCCTTCCTTTTATATAATTAATTCCTTTCTTATAATTCCTTCTTCTCATTCTTTCCATTTCATTTTTATACCTTTTAATAGGTGTCCTTGAATATCCTTTCATTTTCTTTCTTATGATTCGTTCTTTTCATTCCCCTTTTTTCTTATATATATACTTTTCTTTCCTTTTCTTTCGTTTACTTTCTTCTCGTTTTAGTTATTTCTTTTCTTTTCTTTCATACTTTCTTTCTATTTTTTCTTACACCCTTTCATAGGGGGTCCTTGAATATCCTTTCCTTTTCTTTCTTATGTTTCATTCTATTCTTTCTTTATTCTTTCTTAATTCTGTTCTTATCTTTTCTGTTATTTCTTTATCTTTCTTTCATATAATTATTCCCTTTCTTTTCCTTAGGACAATTCATATGTTTATTTACCTTTCCTTTCCTTTCTTAAGTTACTTTCTATTCTTTCCTTTCTTATACTATATTATTTTAATTTTCCTTAACTTGTCCTTTGCTTTTCTTTGCCTCTTTCTTTTCCTTTTTTTCTCTTTTCCGCTTTCCATACCTTTTTTTCTTTCTTTTCAGTCATTTCATTTTAATTCCTTTTACAAGAAAAGAAAAGAAAATCAATAGACAACATACCTTGTAAACAGTCAGTCAGAGGCTAACAACATATATTGGAGCTATCTTTGATGAACTGACTTCTTGACACGCCAGAAAACTTAACGGCTTTATCAAGAATAGAGGGTGTTAACCTACCTTTTCTTTTATTCTTAGTGACATGAAATGCCAACATTTTACAAGGGTGATTGTTTTCACGCCTGATAATGTGTGAGCACTACTTTATTTGTTGAGCCTGATAGAAGTCCTTTATTGATTGAGGTTTTGGTTATCGAGTGTAGCTCATTATTGGTCCGAATGAAACTCCATTCGATTTCAGTATTTTCATTGGATGTGCCGGATGATGGGGGAGGATTTTTCCTTTTGAAACCGTCATATACCATGTTTCGAAGAAAGAAGTTATAGGTTGATTCAATTTTGTTATTTCAGTTTGAGTGGGTCTCCAGGCATGGCAGCCATATGTCAGTCTAGAACGAACAAGTGAATTCATTAAGTTGATTCTTAGTTTAAGAGGGATATTCGAGTAAGCAACTGGCGATGTTCTGCAAAGGTAGCACGTGCGCTTGATACACGATGTTTAAGCTCGCGATCCCCTGTGTGTATGTTATCACATGTATTCCACCTGGGTATTTGAAATCTTTGGAATTTTTGACCGCTGTTCCTTTGATTGTAGTTATACTCTCTGGTAGTGGGCCGTCAAGGTTTTCATCCCAGTTCCACACCATGGTTTCTGTTTTTAGCTCGTTTATGTTTTGGGAGAAATCATTGAAGATTTCGACCATGATATTGATGATTAATTGAAGATTATCTTTAGACCATGAATGGATTCCTATATCATCGGCGTAACCGCAGTCCAGGTAATTGTAAAAGCCAAATGAAGGAAATTTACTTCGCTGTGTCCTATTAGTAGCTGCTGGAGGAATGGAATATGGTATGGATAGCTTCTCTGCTTCCGTTGTTGAGCATCTATGCTTCCAAATCCTTATTGCATAATCTTCAAAAAGATTGAATAAACGTGGACCTTCGTTTCCGCCTTGTCTCACTCCACTTATAATAGGGAATTGATCCTTGAGAAAATCTTCGCCTGAAACGAAAGATTTTGTATCTTCTTAAAGGCTCCTAATAATATCGATATTCGTGGTGTCATATGAGGATGAAAGGCGCTTATAAATACTTTCGAATGAAAATGATCTATTTACGTGATCAAATGCAGCAGCTAAATCTATGTAGCAAGTATACAACTTGCGTTTAGATCGATAGGCCACTTCTTGCAGCTGCTTCATCACGAATATGCCATCGTTACAGCCGTTTCCTGCTTTAAAGCCAAACTGGGTGTTTGAAAGTTGTTGCTCATAGTGCAAGCTCAAGTGCTATATTCATACCTACCTTGGTGAGGATGGGCCTGATTGATATAGCTCTGTATTGTTTTGGATCTAGTGCACTGCCTTTTCTTTTCCATTTAGGTATTATTCGACTAAGACTCCACTGAGAGGGCGTTTTTCGTTTATCCAAATTTCTTTAAAGTACTTTTTCAGCTCATCCTAAAATTCCGGGATTTCTGCTGCAGTTTTCAGCAGATCAGCTTCGATATCTAATGATGTTTTACCGTTCTTCAAGTCTTTGATGGCTAGGAGAATTTCATCAAGTGCAGGGGGATTATTATTCATTACTGGCACGCAACTATGGGGTTTATTGATACACGGTGGTGGGTTAGAAATCTCTGTTGGTAAAGCAAGATTGGAGTGACAAGGGATTAAAGTTGGCCTTGAGGTGTGGTGCTAGGTTGGGGCAAGTTATGGCCTTTGGTATACTACTGATGATTTTTGTATATATATATATATATAGATTATATGTTATATAAATATAGATTATATATTATATAAATCACCAAAGAAAGGTATACACACAATGTTTGAACAAATGACATAATGGTACATCGTGTAGCATAGCTCTCAACGAATATTGTCTTATAAATAAATACATTGTGTAATAGAATGTCTCTGACGGGACGCGGACTTGCGACCCCTTGGTGTCAAAGCGAGAGTCATAACCGTTAGACCACAGAGGTTCCATGGTTGAACAGGCTCAAATAACCGTCAGATACACTCTATTACATAATATGGATGGAAATAAATAGTACCGTAGCATATAATATGATTGATGATTTATATATAAATTTAACATTGTTAACGGCAAATAGATAAATAATTACAAATATATTTTGCTTATTGTGCTACGCAGCATACTTGATTATATGACAGGGATAGGTGTATCTATTTCGACTTACTTAAGTAGTGATATTACAAGTTTACGAACTCTGATGTTACGTGGAAGTAAATCGCCTTTATGTTTGTGAAATAAAAATGCTAACTAATGTTTTGTGTACTTCCCATCTCCCTAGTCCTGTTTGATCGTAAATTAGACGGTACCGTAGCATTTCCACTCAAAATAGTGTGCAATAATACTTGCACAAAGTGAATTTATATAATAGGAGAAAAGAAAAAAAGCTCTTGATTAATTTTGAAAGTACTGTACATGCAAAGAGACTAAATCAAAGTTTATCGTATTTGTTTTTCATGCTTCGAATACGTCACAAGCTAATGAGTAGATAGGCCTAATAAATTATTTTCATGAATTTTATATTTGCATGAAATATGCAAAAGGGCATGATTATGATTACCAGGATAAATTGAAATATGTTTATGATGAGCATTTCAGTAGCCCTAATTTTTCAAAATTTAAAAGTGGAGAAAAAAGAAAATTATATTTAAATTTATGTCTGAGATTGCCATTTCCGGTCAACTAGAGGCGACATAATCATAAATTTACTTACTTCAGCCCCAACCATGGTGGGGATGAGGTGGTCTACACTCCATCTGTAAAAGTCCCTCCCTGGGTCCCTTCTATTTCGAATTTCTGGATCCGCCACCATATTTTGAAATTGTAGTGTGAAAATCAATGTTAATTGCATTCCTTAAAATCAGTTAGATACGACTTATAAAAATTGCTATAGACGCCAGTGTTTCCGGGGTCTTCGCCCATCCCCGAGGGCCCTGGGCAGACCCTGGCCACCAACCATGGCTTGTGCCTACGGCCCAAAATTTTCTTTGCACTTCGTCCTCCTCCCTCACTTTCAACCACGGATCAACGCCCTTGAATAGATGGGAGCCGCAAAGCAAAATAGATGTATGCTAGAAAGATTGGATGGTTATGACAACGAGATATGACAGTACGGCACTGCAACTTTCAATATTACAAAATTATAATGTAGGCCTATTCCTCTTCACAGATTCGCCTGATCAAAGTGAAATTCCTTCAATGTCATGTGAGTAGGCCTACAATATTTCTACGTTTATATTATGACGTAATCACATTGATATGAGCATACAATAACGTTTCGAAACTCAACTATATTTGATACTAAGTACCCTTGTTAAGTGTTGTATTCGCTTCTTTTCCTAGGACATACATATCCACTTGTATTTCCCTCACACCTAAAACCGAGTGGATTAGCCGATAAGCTTACGTGATTTAAAGTTTTATAATACGAACGTTAAGACTGGATATTTCGTATAGAAAAATTTGGCATAATTTGATTGATTTCACTTTCACGAGCAGATATATTTTTTATAGTTTCAGAGAGTATTCAGATTCAATTTTGCAAACACAAGACTTGCAGGCGAGAGCCTTCTGGAGTGTGTGACAATCGTAGAGGTATTTCAGTTTCTAAATATACCGGTAATATAGAAAACCCCTCAAATGTTACACACTGAAACACTTACTTAAAAAATCGATACGATAAGGCCTATGTTATTTATTACTTTCAAGGAGGTATAATTACTTTGGTTATTGCCAATTCACATGTTTGAATTTCGAAATCGCGAAAGTTGACTGCCAGTCAATAGTATTCTATTGAGAAATGGTACCTCATGGTAAATAACGACGATGGACTCTTCCGCTAAGCCAAACCCCTTCGATAATTGTTGCCAACGTCCCACAAAAAGACAAAAACTTACTCAAACACATGCGTTTGTTGGACAACACACGCGTATTGGTTTGTTGCTAAGTTTGATTAATGATCCGGAAACGTCTATTGTCCATTTAGTACTTATAATTCACACTAGAGCAATTCAGACGAGTTGACCCAAATACAAGCAATACCGTGAATCAAGCCTAACTGCTAACGATAGCATACACAGAAACAGCGTGAGGAACCAACGCCATCAATTGCAATTCGAGACCACCGACAATTCAAAAATAGGCCTACAGCAATATATATAAAGGGTAAACGCGTGAAATAAATAAAATTAATGAACTTAAAATGATGTGGAAGAGCTATTGATAAAAGTTTATTTCAACAATGTTTTGTGAGTGTGGTCCATCTAGCCGAAGCTTATCATTTTGTGACCCTCAATAGTTATGATAGCTAGTGGAAAAGCAGAGTCCTCTTCACCCTCCTCTCTAGCACGTCAATACCAATTTAATACTTCCGTTAGCTCAAGTATTATGCACAACTTTATGATTAAAATTCACCTTTGAAAAATCATCATTACTTTTCCTGATGTACTATTTCAATTCCTTATTTTTGTCATTAGCTGTACCAGTGATTGGGAGCGTAATCGACGCAGAAACCGAAATATCTTATTGTTTTCAAGGGCCAGTCTACAATGTGTATAATTGCCATTCCGCTGAACTCGGATGAATTGTTTCACTAACACTGACAGTACAATACATAAAGAGTGTTTATTCCAACATGCACATTCAGATCGGTGGCACTCAAAACTCATTTGGTGCGTGAAGATAATTAACTACTGTTACTGTACATAAAAATAACAAAACAGTACGAAGTAATTACTCACGTTGTAGATCAAAGCGACATGCAACGTGCAACGAAATGGCAGGCGTGCAGTCTGGACACATATCTGAAAAAAGAGGGTGTTATGCTGAGCAATTGTTTGGTAATTATCGACCTATATTAGTTGGCTGCTGCGTGCCAACAATTTTTGGCCTATTTTCATGGCGAATATGTTCATTCTTTTGTAATTATTTAGGCCTACTATTTCTTAAGTAACATTTCCCCGATCACTATGATCACCCGCAGAGCATTTTTAGCAGCTACAAAAAGATATATGGACTATCTCGTGGCATTAGACCAAAAATAGTATTAAGGCCGGAATCTGGAACAAGTGGAGAGAGCATTTCAATGATCATCTTGATAATGCACCAACACTTGTTTAGTTTATTACAGCCACCCATGCTCTGAAAAGTGAAAGCTGTTGGCCAAGGAGGTATTTCAGCAGAAGACTACAAGGCAGCAGGCCCAGAGTATAACAATCTGATCTGGAAAGAAGAAGCTCTCCATTGACCTCCGTCCATGATTCAATTCTTGTTGCCATAACGACGAGTTGCGGGTAGTATAGGGGCTGTCTCTTTTACACATCTAGATGTGTATAAGAGACATATGTGTATGTTTAAAAAGCTTGATTTAGATAATTATTCTTAGAATTATATATTTTCTGATCGAGGCAATATTTAAATTTAAAAGCGAGATAATCCGACTTAACCTTTCATTGCACGTGTAATTATTTCTTGATGTTTAGATTGTATTTTCATATTTGATTGTTTATATGTACTTTCTGCCATTTAAATACACCATTAACCAGCTTATGCTAATAAAGATTGTCATAAAATTAGCTGTTGAGTGTCATTACAATTTGTCATGTGTGTTGCAGTTTTACGTTCCATCATATTTAGCATAATTTGTTCAATTGTCTGTATAGCCGCTTTGCTGGACACATAAATAACTAGGAGTGTATTCAGCTAATTATCTCTCACAGATTCAAAATGCATGGCTATGATAGCGTTGGCTGTGATGCAATACCTCTTGAAATTGGCTGGGGGATGTGTGTATGGAGAAGAGGAGAAATAAGACTACATAGTATGCTCATTGACAATAGCATTTTTTATTGAGTGTTGTACAAAAATTAATAATTATCTATAATTAGTTTATCTCAGTAGTATTGTTTCCAGTGGTGTAAAGTTTTGATTTGATGTCGGCAAAAAACTTGTTGCAGTCTTCATTTGATTCAATCAAGTTTTTAAGTATATATATTAGTGTGCTATCAAATTCTGCAACGTAACATCCAGAGTCCAGAATTGGCTCATTGTCAATGTAAAGAGTCGGTATCATAAGATAAGGCAAGTTCAGGGGTAATATTTGTGGACATTGGCAGGGGTCTTGATCGTAACGAAGAAGAGACTGTATTTCACTGCCATTAGATATAAAGTTAGATCGCATAGGGCTTAGAACATTTATTTCAACTTGTGTCTCTGTCGATTCCACATTCACATCTAGCACCTCCACAATCATAGCTGTAAATGAGATATGTATTTATTCAAATAGCTAATGTGGTAACATTCAAGGCATTGTCTCAAGAGTTCATTAATAATTCATAATGGCCTCTGTATGGAATAAGCCATTTGTAGTCTGACCTGCGCATGCCGATATCAAAGGTCATCGACACATACACCACATACACACAACATAGCTTTATGTTGATTGACCTTGTGTACCAACATGCGCATTTCAGACTACGAAATATCTTATTGTTTTCAAGGGCCAGCCTACAATGTGTATAATTGCCATTCCGCTGAACTAGAAGGAATTGTTTCACTAACACTGACAGTACAATACATAAAGAATGTTTATTCCAACATGCACATTCAGATCGGTGGCACTCAAAACTCATTTGGTGCGTGAAGATAATTAACTACTGTTACTGTACATCAAAATAACAAAACAGTATACGAAGTAATTACTCACGTTGTAGATCAAAGCGACATGCAACGTGCAACGAAATGGCAGGCGTGCATTCTGGACACATATCTGAAAAATAGGGTGTTATGCTGAGCAATTGTTTGGTAATTATCGACCTATATTAGTTGGCTGCTGCGTGCCAACAATTTTTGGCCTATTTTCATGGCGAATATGTTCATTCTTTTGTAATTATTTAGGCCTACTATTTCTTAAGTAACATTTCCCCGATCACTATGATCACCCGCAGAGCATTTTTAGCAGCTACAAAAAGATATATGGACTATCTCGTGGCATTAGACCAAAAATAGTATTAAGGCCGGAATCTGGAACAAGTGGAGAGAGCATTTCAATGATCATCTTGATAATGCACCAACACTTGTTTAGTTTATTACAGCCACCCATGCTCTGAAAAGTGAAAGCTGTTGGCCAAGGAGGTATTTCAGCAGAAGACTACAAGGCAGCAGGCCCAGAGTATAACAATCTGATCTGGAAAGAAGAAGCTCTCCATTGACCTCCGTCCATGATTCAATTCTTGTTGCCATAACGACGAGTTGCGGGTAGTATAGGGG